AATTACAATATAGAAGTAATTATTCCCAAAACAAAGGAGAGGAGGAAATATATGCTGATATCTTTGATGGATTGTGAGTATAATTTAATTACTAAAGTAAATTTTTTTTTAAAAAAAAAGGCCATTAAAATATGTTTCTTTCAATAGGTTATATAAGGATTTATTACAAAGGGGTTTTTTTAAAGATGAACGGGATATTGCACTATCTGGGACATGTGATGGATATCAGATCTTTGAACAATGAACCGATGATTGTTGGGTCATCTTATTAATAAATAATAATCTTCATCCTTCTATTCGTGTAAAAAAAGAAAATCTACTGGTAACAATGATAATACCAGGTCCCCGTTCACCAAAGAATTTTAATTCTTTTTTATGCCCTCTTATAAAAGAATTACAAGAACTAGAAGGTATAGCTAATTTTAATATCTAATAAAAATGTATTTTTTCTATAATTGAAATTTTATTTTGTTAAATATTATAGAAGGAGTTCAATGTATAGATGGACGAAAAAATGAACCTTTTATTTTACACGCACATTTATTAACATGGACGGGGGATGTTCAAGCGTTAAGCAAAAGCTTAAACCTCTCTGGACACAATTCGTATAAAGGTTGTCATTTTTGTATGATAAAAGGGACTTACCACCCATCAAATAAACACATATACTATCCATCATCTGCTTTTTGCAATATAAAAAATCATGATGAAACGATCAATATGGGAAAATTAATTGAAAAAAAAACGAATAAAGATCGAAAAGATGAAATGATCAGAGAAACAGGTATGATTTTCTTGAGAAAAAAAGTAAAAGTATACTTACATCTCTGTATTAATTATTATTACTTTACTATACAGGAATTAAAGGGTCCAGTGAATTGTTAAAATTACAAACATTATTATTTCCATGGTCTTTCCCAACAGATATAATGCATTTATTCTTCGAGAATGTGGTACCGTCAATGTATGCACATTGGAGTGGAAAATTTTTTTATAACAATCTATTATTGTCTAGTGATTATGAGTTATCAAAATTACAGTGGAAAAGTATTGGCATACAAATGGAAAAAGTAAAAAAAGATATGCCTATTGAAATTGGTCGCCCTCCACGTGACATATTTAAATATCATAATGGTTACAAAGCGGTAGAATGGAGAAATTGGATAATTTTATTTTATTACCATTACTAAAGGTGTATCTGGATAAAAGATATTTTAATAAAAAGTAAAAAGTTAAATTAATACATTTTAAATTTTTTTAACTAATCAAAAAGTAAATTTTACTTTTCGTTACATAATATGCATCTTCAAGGATGGGTAAACTTTGTGAAGGCTGTAAAGCTTTGTTTAGAACCTGAAATATCTGAAGAACAAATTGATGATGTACAAATTTTGCTTAAAAAATTTTCAGATTATTATGAAAGGTAATGATTTCTGTCTTATAATTTATAATTGTATAATAATTAAAATAATGATTAATTATTTTAGAGAGTATTATCAGAACAATGGCCAACGTTTAGCAGCATGTAAGATAAGTTTACATTACCTCTTACATGTAGCAAATTCTATTAAATATTGTGGCCCTAGTTGGACCCATTGGCAGTTTCCTATGGAAAGGGTGTGTGGTATATTACAACCACTCATTAAATCAAAAATCAAGCCATATAGCAACCTTGCAAATATGCTTACTTTGTTACAGCAATTTTATATGTTACCATTTTTTTCTATCTCAAAAGCTATTTTCAAAGAAAAACCGCTAAAACAATGGAGTAAGGAACGGGTCTTTAGTACTGAAGGGTATGAAGAAGAATTTTATTCCCCTTCTACTCAATATTCTCTGCTAAGTCAAGAACACAAACATCTGATTAAATTTTACAAAGAATCAAGCAATATAAATCGTAATGATTTAGAAATGGTAATATAAAGCTTTATTTTATTTAATTTTAAATTCATCATTACAATAACAAAATAATTTCGTTTTTTAGGAGGTTAATAATTATGGTGTAAGATATAGAAGATTAAGAACTTCAGATGGACAATATATTAGTAGCTGTTGTATAAAAAGAAATAATAAAATTGCAAGAAATAATTATTGTGATCAGGTAAAATTTATAATCTTTGATTACTATCATTGCTATTTTTTTATTTTTTTGATATAATTTTAATATTGATTTTATATTTTATTTATAAATATTTTTAGATAAGACGCACAATAGATAAACTTGCCCACAGACCCAATGCGCCTCCTCAACTCGTTATTGTAGATATATATGGAATCGTAAATTATTATCTTGTCCATGAATTCAACCATCAGGTTTACATGTTAGCCTATGTACAATTAACATCAAAAATTGTAGAAGATGAATATGGATGTAAACATTTTACTCAATTCAGATCAAAAGAATTTATCGATGTAAGATATTTAGATCATTGTATAGGTTTTGCTAAAATAGATAATAGATATTATATAATTGATAAAGAAAATGCATTTGATGACTCTAATTGGGAAAATATTGGGCATTGATTTCTTGCAGCAGTTCGCACTTATAATAAAACTTTTTATGTTCTAGTAAAAAACCCGATAATTAAGAATATTTGTTGTATATTGATTAATTTCTAAAAATAGCTAAACACGAATAAGATTATCCCATTAACTTTATTTGTATCTAAAAATAGTTAAACACGGATAAGCGATGATGAAATAGATGAAATACCTATTATAAGCAAAACATTTCACTGTTTTTTTATTTTACTTTTCTCTTTTCTGATAAAATATTGGTAATAAGTCTATGTTATTCTGGTAATAAGTCTATATTATTTATAAACTTACTGACGAAAAATATTTTACCAGGAATAAAGGATACAAGATACAAAACCTTGAATTTCTGGAATTAGAAAGTTTTAATTAACCCTACTTAGAAGAGAAGCTGACTATATTACAGGGAGAGACGGTATGAATACATAAATTTTCCACCACAATATCAATTATCCAATAGTTAGTTACTGTCGAAATTAATATTAACTGATTCTTTTATTTTTTCTATTTTAATGTAGCCGTGTCAGGTGTTAACTGTAGAATGTAGACGTGTATAAGTATTTTTTTATGTTTATTAACAGGTATGCATCAAACTTTATTGTATTGGATTTAAAATTAAATAATTAAATTACTAATATACCTTTTTCCCCTCTTTAACAAGTACATTAAATTAAATAGGTCCGTGTCGAGGTGTTAATTGTAGACGTGTATAAGTATTTTTTACTTAAAAATTATGTTTATTAAACAGGTATGCATCAAACTTTATTGTATTGGATTTAAAATTAAATAACTAAATTACTAATATAACTTTTTCCCCTCTTTAATAAGTACATTAAATTAAATGGGTCTAGAGTTATTGTATAATGGATATGAAAAATAAGTTTTCCTAACTGTATCTTATTTTCTTTATTTATTTTATTCTTTATTTATTTTCGTTTTATATAGTTTCAGAAATATGAAATTAAACATTTTACTTTACTATAGAAATTATTTGTATCATTGGTTATTAGCATAGCCTTTAAAATGTACACGAATTATTATTGAAATATAATCAAACCATATCGATATTGTATTTATATACTAAAAATATCATTATTATCAAATGTAAAAATGTAATTAAAATAATCTTTAATGCAAGTAAAAATGTATGCTATTTTTAATTAAAAGATACATAAAATATTATTTTATTTGAACTAAATTGACCTTTAAAACTACTAAAAATATATGTTATTTCTAATTGAAATATTATTAAAATATATGAAAAATACAATTGAATCATATTTATAATACACTGAAAATGGGCTTTAAATATACTTAAATATATATAATAACACGAAATAAAATTATCCTGAAATTAAGTAGAAATTAATGACATAAAATTTGCACTAAAAATATACTTAAAGAGGCAAAATTTAAGGGTGTTTTATGAGCTTTTTAAATATTAAATACAGTATATTTAAACATAATTTTAGCATTATTTATGGATATAAATATCTTACATAAAATATACTAAAATTATATTTAATTTATACTTATAATATACATGATTATATAGTTAAATATTCTTAAAATTCAGTATATTTTCAGTATATTTTCAGTATGCAATTTTTCTTACTGGGAAGGTGTGTTTCCAAAGTTAGATTTTACGTCAAATTTTCAATAAGGCCGCACCAATTCAATATTTTATTTAACATACCCCCCCCCTGTTTTTGGATTTTTTATGTAAAAAAAATACATGTAATTTAGGCCAGAATTAGACAAATCTTTAAGTTTTAGCCGGAATTATCATCCAAAATTTTTGCTCACTTTTTTGGTCAAAATTTTGGCCAAAATTAATGGTAATTCTGGCCATGTATTTTATTTTATGTATTATTATTTGTTTCCCCCCCCCTAGATTGGGACCCCTATATTATGTTAAACAAAGAATTGGCTTGGAGCGGCCTAATTAATATATATGCTATATGTATGCCGATCATCTGCTAACGTGACTTTGAAGCTTCGGGTGAAGTCACAGATCTTTGGGCGAAACTTAAAACTTTTACAGTATATTATTTAGGTATTCAAGAATCAATGGCTAAAATAAATCTGGATAATTTTTGATAACCCAAAAGTTATCATTAAATAAATATTTACAATTATTGTAAAATTAATATATGTCTAATATTTGACAAAATCTTTATGAATTATTTTAAGAACTAATTTATTAACAATAAATAAAATAAAGTAAATAAATCGAAATTTTATACATTATTATGTAGTATACATGCCACCCAAATTATTTTAGGCTGCCGTAATTATAAGTAAAATCCCAAATTCAATTATGACATCCCAAATTATTTTGGCACTTTACATAGTAAATTATATATAAATTGAATGAATTACGACATCCCAAATTATAATTATGGCATCCCAAAATAATTTGGGCAGCATGTATATTATGTAGAATTTGTGAAAAAACTAATTCAACGGTATTTTTTTATGTGATAATATTGGACAAGTGATCGGCAAAATGATCGGCAATATCATGATAATATGGGGATGTCCGCCCTGTTGCCTGGCCTATTAATCAGGATGGAAATATAATGGAGTTTTTTGTCATATCTTTCTTGACTATTATAATTAAGTATTTGTTGAATCCCATTTTGCATTTTATTTTCATTAAGTAATATTTGAAAAGTTTTGTCTTGCTCTTGTAAAGAAAATTTGACACTAAAAAAAGTTACAAACTATACATACCATTCAAATTATTTTGGGCTGCCATAATTATAAGTAAAATCAAAATGGATGACCTAAAAAATAAATAAATTATTCATTAAAAAAAAAAAAAAAGTTAAAATATGGGTCAAATTTCCTTTGACTTTTCTTCTTTTCCTCTCTCTTCCATTTGAAACTCTCTTATTCTAATATTCTTTCCTTACACTCAAATTACACAAATTTAAGAGGTTAATAGTGATTCAATTTCTTCAATTTCTTCAATTAATTTCCAATTTATAAATTGCTATTAAAATTTTGAAGAAAATTTAAGTCATATAATGAATCACAAAAAAAATCTCAAAAACATTTTTTTTAACTTTAATAGCCTTTCTTTATATAATTCATTAAATAACCCTAATCAATCTATTAATCTTTCAATTGTCTGTCTCTTCAATATTAAGGAGTCATGTTCACAAACTTGTTTATGATATTAGAAAATGGATGGGTGATTGTTTAATAGTCAAGGAGATGATACATTAGCCTTAAATATTTTTTTATCTAAAATCATAAAATAGAAATTTTTAAGGACTTGCTAAAATAGAAATAATGATATCATATCTGAAGATGCTTCTCAGAATAAAGTTATTCAATGAGAATTCTATTTAGTATGTTCATTTCTATATTATCAGAATTCAAAAGGGATTTCCTTTTCCCCCTCTCTTGTTTTTCACTTTTAAATTAATTTCATTTATTAAGATCTATTTCTTTTATAATCCACAAACAAATAAATTATTTATTAAAAACAAACCAACAGATTAACAAATATCCATTTGTTTTTTGTTTTTCCTACATACTTCTTTCTTTTAATTCCATTAATATAAAATATTAATAAACAAATAAATTATTTATTTAAAAAAAAAAATGGATCAACAATATCAAATTCCCATATTACATCTTCATTTGTTTTTGTTTAATTTCATGAATTAATCATGATAATATAATTAACTTTTATGGAATTAAACATTATGAATTTCTATAGTAACTTTTTTAAGCTTTTTTTATTCCTCTCCTACTTCTCCTTTTTAATCCTTTATATTTTTCCTTTTCCTTTTTTTTGTTTTTTCCTTTCTTTTTTTTGTCTTCCTCTTCCCCCCTTCAAGATCATTTGAGTTCAGTTAATCACCTAAATCATTCAAGGATTTATCACTTTAACATTTACAAATATACACTTAAAGGTATTGCAAAAAATCAAAGATAGAGGTGTAGATGGTTGACTCCTTGAATGTGCGCATCAATGCAGGTTCTTCCTGAAGAAATTTATGCTTCAGTGGATGATGGAGCAGTATTTAGATCAAAGGGTTTTTGGATTTTTACATAAATGATAAGCATAGGTGGGTTATTGAATTATTGCGAGACGGAGTTAATTTGAAAGAACATCAACAAAGGTTTTAGAATAATGGTTCTATTCTTAAAGTTGCAGAAGAATAGGCAGTCGTTGATATTCTAAGCAATAAAATGGGACCCTCAGATCAATATGGTAATGCTCTTTGTGATGAAACTTTTGAATCTATTCATTTAATCTACCTGATGGAACTGAACAAAATATCAAAACTCTTATTTGTATAAAGCTTAGTTATTATTACATTGTTTTTCATAAAAGTCTCATTTTTTCATTTCATTGGTAATTGGAATAGCAGATACGCAAATGCTACTATAATATTAAAGTTAAATATTTTAATCTATACCCATAATCATAGTGTTAAATATACGTTCTGTATAAAGATAGCATAAAAAAAATTACATGATCCCATACTCTACGCTTCCTCCAAATAAAAAATCACGTGCGCGTGAACACACAAGATCTCTCACATTTTATTTGTCCTATTTAAATATTAAACTTTCATCAAACCAAGATTAAGGTTTCTCGCTAAAGTTCACGTGAAAAAAATCTTGACATGAAACAGTTTCGTAAATTGTGTAATATAGATCATGTGGATAAAAATTAAAGTTTCTAAAACACAAGATACAATTTATAATTATAAATTTCCCCCCATGTACGATATAAAACTCATGTAACGATGACACCAATTTTTAGTAATAATTTACCGGAGATCACCGTAAGAATTCCATAAATAAAATTGAAAAAATAATCGGTAAAATTTAAAACTTTAAAAATAATAAGTAATTGAAAATTCCTGAACGCCAAGAACATGAATGAATATAAATGGAATAATTTTACATCTAAGTTAGGAAATTTTGATTGTTTCATTTTAATTTTTATCGTTACTCATTGGATTTCTAAAGAGTCAGGCCATAAATTAATGAAATGTTATTACAAATAATCAATTAAAAATTCATGTAAAAAGGAACTTTCTATAGTTTTTTTTTTTTACAATGAATTCAAAAAAAAGTAATAATAATAAATTTATTGATAATTAATAATATTAAAGAAAATCAGTAGTATAAATTTAATTTCGATCTTAATATTAATCGGACTATTAAAATTAAAAAAATTTAAAATTATAATCCAATTCAAACTTGATCAGCGTAGTAAGTTTAATCGGATAGCATGGAATAAACGCACAGACCAAATATAAAAGGAACAAATTCTTTTTGAAATTCTTTATAAAAATTTTATAATAATTATTAATAAAAGAATGGGAAATCGAAATTCTGCACAAATTCGACATTTTCGTAAAAAGAAACAAGATAATTGTACAATAAAAAATACATATAAATTTATCGATGGACGTAAATATTTTAAAAATAAAGAATGGATTTATCCATTACCAGTGGATGAAGAGGAATGTGATCGATCACAACTTCAACATTTTTTATTTCATCATATTTGGGAAGAAAATTTCAGTTCACCCGTTAAACAAATTTTAGAGAATGGTGGTAAAGTATTAGATGTAAGGTAATTAAATTCTCACTTTCTTCAAGTTCTCTGCAAAAAGATTTTTAAAATTTAATAAAATTATTTATTATTTTTAATTTTTAACCAGTTGTGGACCAGGAGCTTGGTTAATGGAGATGGCAACAGTATATGGACAAACACAATTCGTTGGAGTTGATTTGATACCAACATTTCCCACCGAAATAAAACCTCAAAATTTAAAATTTAAACAATTTGATGTTCTTAATGGATTACCTTTTAATGATAATGAATTTGATTTAGTTTGTATACAAAATTCTTCTTTATGTTTTACTGAAACCCAATGGAAAGAGATTGTGATACCTGAAATGGTACGAGTAACTAAACCAAATGGATGGGTAGAATTAATGGATGTTGAATTTAATATTCAAAATTTACCAAAAAATTTTGAACCATTATATGATGGATGTAAGTAAATTTATTATTAATATTTTAATTAATAAATTATTTGAAACTGATCTTTTTCCTTTTTTTTTTAGTTGTTAAATATTGTAAATTACATGATATAAATCTAGAAATAATTCCTCGTTTAGGTAAACTTTTACAAACTCATTCATCGGGTAAAATGACAGATTTTAATGAGGATATTCGTAAATTGTTATATTACGAAAATATTGATACAGATTCAAAAATAAATATGACAAGAAAACTTTCTAAAGAAAATATATCATCATTTTATCATACTATTTCACCAATCATATTACCTATATTAGAAATCACAAAAGAGGAATATGATGAAATAATTGATACTATTAATATTAATTTTGAAAAAAATAAATGTTTTAATAATATGCATAGATTTTACGCTAGGAAAAAGTTAGCAGAAGAATGAAAAAATAAAATGTATTATAGTTTACATAATTTTACATAGACATTTTTTTTTTAAAAAAAAAATAAAAAAAAAAAAAGTTTTTTTTTTTCTGTACACCTTTTGACCTTTCTTACCTTGGAATGGTAAATCACGTGAAATCCAGGTCCCAATCCAAAAAATAATCACCTTACCTTTATATAAGTAATATAAGTTATATAAATAACCCAGCCAAAAACTTCATTCCATAAAGAAGAACCATTCAAAAATTCAGGTTTTACCGGTTTTACTTAAGTGCCAAATTTCTTTAATTAGAAAATTTGACGGATCGTGAACAAAAAAACCCCGACCCTTTTTTATTTTTAATTTCCCACGAAAAAAAAAAAAAAAAAAAAAAAAAAAGGAGAAATTAAAATATCTCATGGAAAAATTAAAAATTCCCATTTGTTATTTATAAAGAATAAATAAATAAACAAAAGAAATTAGTAATTTTTTTGAAAAAAAATGATATTTTTTTCCACTTTACAATTTAAATAAATATTAAAAAAGATATTCGGTTATGATGATAAACCGTCAAACAATCGATTTATTGTTGTTATTATTAATGAAATACAAAAAAACTTAAAGGCTAAAGGCGCATTGACAACCGCCATTGGGAAAGAACATTCCCCCCCAACAAAGGGGACATTCTAATGACCTGTTTCGTACATTAACCCTGTATGGACAATTAACATTTCGGGTGCATGAGCCCCTTGTTCTGGGGGAATCACAAAGGTAATTTAGTTATTCCTGATTGTTCAGAAAATACACAGCATAATTATAAGTTACACAAAATATATTTGTTCTTCTTATTTGTTTGATTATATTGGACGATTTTGTGATTTAAGAAAATTTCCAAATTTAACAAAGCCTTGTAATATTCCAAAAATAATTGTAATAATTGCAATAAAAAATTTTCTCTCACACTATAAACAAATAAATAAAATATCGTGCGAAAAAATAATTTTAATGTAAAACAAATTTTACCAAATTTTGATTAGTATATGCAAGTAAAAATAACTTGAATATTCTGACATTTTGTGACTCAAAGAAAAAAAAAACATTTATTATTCATTAATTAAATCATTATTTCTTGTTTTTATACATGTTTCTTTTGGAGTTCCCATGTCTAGATTTATATGGATCTTCTCGGAGTTACAAATTTTTTCATTATAAACTTTTTTTAGTATATTAAATAAATTTTATTGTTCATAAAATAATATAAAAAGCACGTCCGAATTCCCCTCATCACAACAACAAAAAAAAAAAATAAAAATAAAAATAAAAATAAATTTATTAAAATTATTACATTTTACATTTTTTAAAAAATTACATTACATTTAATTTTCATAACATCAAACAAAAAATGTCGAATACCATTTTATTTCGCGAAGAATATCTTTCAGCTTTTAAATCAAAGGATGGTCAAGACTTTTCAAATTATCGGGAACGTATTCTTTCAGAATTACTTCGATTATATAAACCACGTTTATTCCCAACTCAACTTGAAGCCTTGCGTGAAAGTTTCGAAGTATCTTTTCAAGAATTGGTAAATGCTACTCCTAGTGATATTGAAATCTTGGAGCGAAAATTCGACGATCAAGCTGTTTTAACTCTTGAAGAACAAAGAGAATTAGTAATAAAAGCTCGTTTTGAATGTGCTTTTCAAAGGTTAAAAGAAAATACTCGAATAATTGTTAATAGTATAAGTTATATGCCTCCTGTACCTGCTCATATTTAAAAAAAAAAAAAAAAAAAAAATCAACATTTTTATATCGACCCCGTAACAGGTTATAAGGTAATGACTGAGTTATATCATAAATCAAGAGGTCGTTGTTGTGGAAGTAAATGTAGGCATTGTCCATTTAATCATGAGAATGTGGGTAAAAATATTAATTTACAAGATTTAATTGATAATGAAAAGAAAAATGATGATGATGAAAATAAAAAATAATGTAAAATGAATAAAGTTAGTTGTGTAATACGTCATTTTTTATATGTTGTGCATATTTAAATATGTTGTACGTCATTGATTGGTAGAATGTCACGCGATTGTGAGATAATAATGTTGTCAATAATTTTAGTTACTGTATTGATTGGTACATTGTCACGGGATTGTGGAATGTTTCTACAAAACAAACATGAACGTATACTAACTATGTGTGTTGCAATTTAATTAAGTGTAAGTTGCATTCCTCCCTTCCATTCCACGCGGTGCTAATGACAATTTACTTACGATTGTGAAATGTTTCTACAAACAAATTAGAATTAACATGAACGGTATACTATGTGTGTTGCAATTTATTAAGTGCAAGTTGCATTCCTCCTTTCCATTCTACGCGGTGCTAATGACAATTTACTTACGATTGTGAAATGTTTCTACAAACAAATTAGAATTAACATGAACGGTATACTATGTGTGTTGCAATTTATAAAGTGCAAGTTGCATTCCTCCTTTCCATTCTACGCGGTGCTAATGACAATTTACTTACGATTGTGAAATGTTTCTACAAACAAATTAGAATTAACATGAACGGTATACTATGTGTGTTGCAATTTAAATAAGTGCAAGTTGCATTCCTCTCTTCCATTATACGCGGTGCTAATGACAATTTACTTGTATAATATTCAAGAATAAAAACTTTAACAATTCAGTTATTTTTTAATATATATATTTTTTCATTTACAAAAAAAAAAAAAAAAAAAAAAANATGATGTTAAACTATCAAACCTGTTCGATTGAAATATAAGAGACCGTCATTATTTATTAATTGAGGCTTAGAATAATTGTGGCTTAGGAGAAAAAAGAAATCACCTGATTATAAGATCTATAAGTTAATCATCTGAATGAAATGAGGCTTAGAGAATATTTTACAATGGAATTATAGGACAAAGGAAATGATCAATACTGTAAAATATCTATATAATGAGCACTTTTCCGAGTGTCTGAGAGATAAGAAATAATTCCCCTTTACCTTTATTATTATATTTTGATTCCTTTTGCCTTTTTTTTATGATGAACAAGTGCCTCCTTAATTAATTTAAGGATTGATAGAAAGTATATGAAGGGAAACTATCAAAGTTTATTTTTAGATTAGATTTTAAGTTAATATAGTTATTATAGTTATTTTATGTGGTTAGAATATTTTATTTTTAAATAAAGAAACATTTTGTTAACGACTCAACGTGATGATGACCCACATCACAGGGTTGAGCATTATACTACCAATACTGATACTTAATATCCACAAAAAAAAAAAAAAATTTTTAAAATAATCTTTGTACATAATACGTGTCAATATAAGTTGGGTAAATTCGCGGTGCACCTACCACTTATAATGACTCGGTTTTTAACCTTCTCTCCCAATTTTTCCCAAATCATTATTAATTGTTATTTAATTCATTGGGTATTTTTTTCAGGTAAGAAGGCCTTGAAACTTTTTTATTCTTTTTTTGATTAGCGGAAGCAGAATGTATTATACCAAATGAATCAATTACTTCACAAGAATCTTGATTTGAATCTCTGGAATTGTTATTGTTATTATTTAAGTTGAAAGGAATTCTCGGATTTATTACGTTTAGGTTATACGTATCACTTGATTCATCTAATTTGTCGCTCCATCCTTCATTAATTGTATACTACAAAATATATATATAAGATTGACGTTAAATAATGATTTGATTTACATGATGACAATGACGATGAGATTGACAATAATGATAATGATGATAATGATGACGATGATGACGACGATGATGATGATATGACGACGATGAGTTATATAAAATTTTACAAACCTGTACGAAATTTCCTATACCACCAAAATTTATTCCAATATCACAAACAACGTAGATCCAATAATGATCAATATGTCTTATATGACTAATATTATAAATAGTGACAGGAACATATTGTATAATAAAAATCAATATATAACTTGATATTTTACTATAAATACGTTTATTTTTTTCTTTACGTTGATTTGAAATTTCTTCACTACCAAAACCTTCTTCAATCTTTATAGATCTCATTTCATATATTATACTTATATAACAGAATAAACTAACTGTCATTACTATAATTATTATGCATAAAGAAAATATTGATAAATTTTTATCATCAAATTTTCCTGCACACCAATACATATTTTGACCAAAATCTTTGTTAAGTGCTATTGTAGATATTAAAGATAAAATTAACATTCCAAGGAATAATTTATAATCATATTTTCCCAAACTAAATGATCGACTTTTTACACGAAGAAAAGTTGTTATAGCTACACCTCCCACCAAGAAAATGTTCATACATTGAAAAAAAAAAGTTAAACCACCAATTATATTACAAGTTGAACCTTCCCATGGTTTTTGAGTTGCTGCCATACGAGATATATTTATTAAATGTGATATCATAACGAAAGAATCTGTCATAGCTATATACATTGGAACCCTTAAAGTCATTGGTAAAGTGATACGACGACTACTCTTCCATTTGTAATAACTTCTATATAAGACATAACTTGTACCCACAAAGTTCAAATATACAGCTAAAAAAGATGAAATCATAACTATTATAAATCCATATTGTGATTTAAATGGTAAATTTTCAACATTTTTATCTGAATAATGTTCATTTACTTGTCGTCTACTAATTAAATTGAAATTTTTATTATTATTAATATTATTAACATTTAATTTTGATAAATTATTATTTAAATTATCATTAATATCCACCAAATAAAATGCTTCAACGTGAAATATTTCAAGAATTAATATAATTAAATTAGCTATAATAACTCTTCCATTATTCTTAAAGACTTTCATTATAATGTTCTTTTTCTTTATTTTTTTTTTTAAAAAAAAAAAATATATATATATATATATATCTTTTTCTTCGTTCGTAATGAAATAACTATATATAATATATTATATATTTTTTATTCTTTATTCGATAATCCTCATAATTGTTCAACATTAAAACAAACTCCAAATATTATGGAATTTTTTATTACTATAAACAAAATTATTTTTCAATGAAATTTTTTAAAAAAATTTTTTTTTTTTCAGATTTTGCGGGGAAGAAAACGGCAGGAAAAAAGGAGAATTTTTTTTTTTTTAAAAAAAAAAATGTTACGATGAAATTTTTATTTCATTTAAATATCTAAAATATGGTAAGAGATCAATCAAAATACCGGGATGTACATTATATGAATACAATTAAGGATTAATTTATTTTCTAACAGGTTATTTAAGGACAATCCATTTTCAAAAAATCCACAATATAAATTTAAAAGCAAGGAATTGATATACATAAAATTTGTCATATTAATAATTTGGTACATAATCTTACATTTAGACTAACCATTGTTTTCGATGATTTCATTGAAATCTTCTTTAAATCGACAAACTTTCTAAATAAAGGATACACAATTTTTTTTTTTTTTTTTTTTCATAGACTAAATTTTTTTCTAAATTGATCCCGTCACTGTACCTTAAAAAATTTAAAAATGTTATTTGTCCATTGTCAAAAAAAAATTCTATTAATAGAAAAAAAAAAAAAAATATCTATTCTATTATTCTGTTTTTATGTATATATAAAACTTTAAATCATTGTATTTCAAAGAATTAATATGTCAAAGATTAGAGAGTTATTATTAAATATTATGAATAATAATATTATTATTATTTCGGAGTATCAGAATTTCACCAACTAAGCCCAATTACGTAATAATTATGGAATTATGATCCTAAATTAGGTTATATTAAAAAAATATGTGTAACAACTTTGTTAAATAAATAAATAGCATAATAACCCTTTATATATATTAAAACATTCGCGTGATCCCTTTATTTCTCTCTTTATAAGGTTAGTAAATTAACACAATATGAACTGCGTCTATTTTATAAAAAGTGTTGCGTGTTTTTATTAAGAATCTTACAAATTTTATCATCATAAGAATTCATAAAATTTGGTGTAATTTCAAGAGTTAAAGGTAAATTATTAAATTGTGATGAAGTGAATGAATTATAATTGGTTGTAATATAGGAAGATGTTTGTTGATGAACGTATGGATTATCAGATGAAGGTGATTTCATTGGTATTTTTATCGTAGGATATCTTTTCGGATTATAAACGTATCCAGGAAAGATACAATTGTGAACTTTCTTTGCACAATCAGCGAGGAATGCAAAAAGTTCTTTGATTTCTTTGGTTTCATTTTTCCATCTGTTTCCTGCAACTTTTGAAATCTTATCTAATCTATCAAATGAAGAATTTGCAGCTTGTGATAATGCCATTTTTGCTTGTAAATTTCTTCGATATATGACAAAACTATTTTGTGGTCTTGGTATTTTCGAAGTACGATGATTTTCAAGGGGAGTTAAAAGGTCATAAAGGGAAAGTGTAGTATGTTGTTTAATTTTAAGTAATGTTGCATCATCAATATATGATGAAACTATTTTACTAACAATTTGTGAAAATTTTTCGTGATTTTCATTCCTATAATCACTGATTTGATATGGTGCATAATGTTCGCTTGTTAAATATGGCATTATGATTGTCATGATGATTGATGATTGATTGATGATGAGTGATGATGACGTATTTTTCTCGTTGAGTTAAAAGAAAAATTTAAAGAAATTAAAAAGTTATTTTGTTATATTTAAGAATTTAGAATTTTTAGAAAATTTAGAAAAAGGTTTAAATTTACTAACGACAAGATGTTGGCTTTATATAATCATCTATGCTTTTGTGATTTTTTTAGGCAAAATGCGATATGCACTATAACGAAACTTTTAAAAATTGAATAGACCATTAATTATGGTAAAAAAAAAAAGAAAGAAAAAAGAGTTAAAGTTTATTTTTTTTTTTATTTTTATTTTTTTTTTTATAAAAAAAATGGTATTGTCATTAATCATGATAAATAAATACATTTAATATATTTTTTTTTTTTGTTTAACTTTATTTACTCGTTTCCGATGATGAGATGATAATTAATTATTTGTCTGGTATTGTTGTTATTATTTGTTATTATACATCTAATTTATACATATTGCGAAATATTTTTTTTTCCAAGATTTTACCAGCTTTTCTAATTTTTAAGAACAATAGCATTTTTTTTTAAGGTCTTGATCTGCTAAAGTAAATAATTTAACCATTTATATATTACCCACGAAAAAACTGTCCAATTTGTTAATTGTAAAAGAAAAATTTATCAACATCCCCTTATTCTTCCGTGCATAATAAGGATTCTACAAACATTCGATGAAAAAAAAAAAAAAAACTTGTTTCAAACTTGAATATTTTTTTTTTTCTTTTTCTTTTGTTTATTTAAATTATTCCGCGATGTACATTAAAAATGATTGGTACACTTATAATGTCGTGTAAAAAGAATTTCGGATTACAAACGTGGGCAGCGTGGCGTAATACGTAGTAGAAAAAAAAAAATCTTTTTTTTTTCCTTCGAAATTTAAATCTCTTTAATATACAGTATTGGTATATATTTAATATACTAAATCGACTGTTATTCATTGCGTAATTCGGGTGTCTAATTATTACGTGGTTTTTATCTAATTTTATAATGGTTTGACTGTTTTGACTGTCAAATGTTCAGGTAATGAGTCCCCGAGTATCAAGTCAAACTCCTTTTTAAAATTAGTACTATATTACATAATTTGATGAAATAATCCGCAGCAAATCTCGATTTAACTGATTTATACAAATTCTTCGATACTATGTTACAGATATGGTAATATTATATTACGAACAAACGATTATCATACTCTGAACAATTGTCTTTTATTTGATCTTCTTAACCAAAAAAATTCTAGTCTAGATTTTACAAATTGTATTACTATTTAATTTTATTATTATTCCATTTTATATTTTCTTCTATTATACTTATATCTCCCTTTTTCTTGGGAAAATAAATTTTTNAAAATGAGATGGTTAGATAGATTATGCAACAGGTCTGACGAAAAAAAAAAAAACGTGCAATTTAATTACTTACTATAAGTGGTAAAGGGTAATTTACTTGGCACATATAGCTGCGAATTAAAAATCCACTTACCTCTTTTCCCGGGTTATTTGTTCAGGATCTTCCTTATTTGGAATGGTGCTTCCTATTGTAATTGATTCAACGTCACTACGTCACCAATTTTCACGTGAAACAAATAACTTTTAAACTAACATATATTTAAATTAAACAAATTAAACAATTAATACTATAAAGCCTTCTCTACTATTGTAAAGTAACTAAGTCTATAAAAATATAAAATAATATGATTTATTAATAGGATTTTATTAAAATTTTAAAATTATAACTACTCATTTAACCAGCAAATATTACATTAAAATAAATATCTTACTTTTTTGAATAAAGCTATTCTGTATTTTAAATAATATTTCTTTTTAATAAACAAATAATTTAAGAAAGTAATTTCATTTGTAATAGTAATAATTTTATTCATAATAATTATAGTAATATCTTTTACTGAGCTATTTTGCATTTTATATAATATGTTATAGTTTATTTTTTTAATAAATAGTTCAAAAAGCATATTGCAAAAGCTAATAGTAATTTTATAAAAAACTAATAGTATGCAAAATAATGATAAATATAAGATTTAATAATATTAATATAAAATTGAAAAAATATAAAAAACAAAGTAAAATTGATAGGAAAATAATTAATATTAATGGAAAATTAAAAGATATATCACTTTCAGCTTTTACTTATAACAATCTATTTAAAGTAATAGTAACTTTTTTTTAAAAAAATTTATAAATGAAATATAAACATAAAATTAAAATATATAAGAAAAACTGTTAAATTTTATTAGCTATTTTTCTTTTAATAATGATATTACCTGACAGTATATACATGAGGTATTCTGGTATATAATGAGTGGTTTATACTTTAATAATATTTGTTTTAAATTAATAATATAAATATTCAATTTATTGTTTATATATTATTATTTTTCTTAATAAATAAAAGTATAAATATACTGGTTTAAACTGAAAGGAGGGGTTTCTTTCTAAGAATAAGTATGCATGTGTAATTGCAGAATATACTCTTATAGTCTAATATCTGCCTAACAGTATACATAATTATGGAGTTCTTTGCAGGATGACAAGTGGTTTAGAACTTATTAATATTTACTCATGTATAATGTACAGTGAATTATCATTTAAATAAAGATTTAAATATATTGCAACAAAAAAAAAAAAGTATAAGAATTAAAAAATAATAATAATAATATATAATTAGTTATTATTTTGTAATAAATTTAATTAATAATTTTTTACTATAAATTAATCTGTAATATTATAAATAAAATTTATTGTAAAATAAATTATATAAAATAAAATATATGAATTTTCAAATAAATTTTCTAATTTAATCTGACTCACATAAAATTGATGCAATTGATGGATTGGTAGGATTGGGTTCCAAAAAAATAGTTGCAAAAACTGATTTTTTTTCTTTGAATAATTTTTGATTTTTTAATTCAATCATTCACTTAAAAAAAGTCTCATATTTGCAATTATTTTTTACACTATATACATAGGTTTTTTTTTCTTTTACATCAAACATTAATATACCTTTAAAATATTTTGATTTTCCTTTAAGATCATCTAATAATTTTATATAATTTCATATAAGACTTCAGTTTTTTCAGTAATGATCAGCTTGTGTAATATTTAAGTAGTGGTCTGAATTGGTAAACCGCAATCCGTTGATCTGCCGGATATATCCGTTTATCCAGATTGGAAATTTGTTAAATGGATAGGTTTCACCAGATCAGCAGATATTCACTAAATATCCGGTGGATGTGATCATATGTTAAATGATATAATAAAAGTTTTTCCCACTCTTTTTTTAGCATTTTTATTCTGATTTTTCATTTTCTCTCGTGTTTTTCTCTTGTGTTTTTCATGACAAAAATGTCTTTGCCCCAATTTTCAAACTATATCCAAATAGATGAAAGTGAATAAGAAGAGCTATTACAACAAACACCAATAATAACCAATCAAAAATTAAGTGAGAAGCTAATACAAAAAAGGAAGCAACGCGTTGAAAAAGATGTTGAAACAGAAGGTGAAAGTAATACTGAATCTTTACAAAAACGAGGAAAAAAAGGAGGTTCAGAAGAGCATAATTGGATTTGGAATTATTATGAAAAACTTGTTGCAAAATCACCATATGTTCGAACAGTAAAGTGTCAGGTTGAAATTTATGGTAAAAAGGGTTTACAGCCATGTGGAAAAATAATAAATTCAAAGAATTATTCAACTAGTAACTATATTGTCCATTTAAATACCGCGCATGGTAGTATTACTAAAGAAATGCATGAACGAAAAATGAAAGAGCAACAAGTAACATAACAACCACAAATTGACACTATGTTTCACAAGATAATCTCTGATAATTCACAAAGAAAAGCACAACTTGATCAAAAATTTATTGGCATATTAGTAAAAGATCATTAACCGCTTAGTATTCGTGAAGATGAAGGATTCCTTAAGTTTATTTATGAACTTGATTCTTTATATCAACTACCAAGTAAAAAAAAAATACTTGAGTTACTTACAAATGGATACAAATCATATAATAATATCAAAGACATTTTAGTTAATAAAATGGATTCAGATATTATTAATTGCTCTTTAACTACTGACTTATGGACAGTTCGTAGTAGAATGGAATATATTGGAATTATGTGTGCATATATTGATAAACAGTTCAAATTAAATGAAGCAATTCTCACAATCAAATATGTGCTATATCCTCATACTGGTGAAGCTATTGCTGAAGAAATTATGAGCATTTTAAGTGAATGGAAATTAACTGATAAAGTATTTACAATTACAACTGATAATAGCAGCAATATGATAAAATCTGCACGATTAATTCCTAGGTTGATTAGAATACCTTACACGGCACACACACTTCAATTGGTAATCGGAAAAGGTCTCTTACCAGCAAAAGTATTAATTGCAAGAGCAAAGCGGCTTATGTTATTTTTTACATCTCCAAAGCAAACAGAAAAACTTCTAGAAATTCAAAAAATATGAATCAAGTTATTAACGAGATAAATGATATAAATTCCTGATTTTTAACAAATAATGATGATTTTTATTTATTTTAATTAATGAAAATTATAAAATTATACAAAAATTACTATTTTTTTAACAAAAATTATTATAATTATTTTAATGAAAATTATTATATATAAAAACCATTTTTTTTAATGAAAATTAATTTTTTTAACAAAAATCATTTAACGAAAATCATTTATTTACTGAAAATTATTTAACAAAAATCATTAACAAAAATCATAACAAAAAATTATTTATTTTATTTTTTTAACAATAAATCATTTTATTTATTAATTCTAATGATAATTTTTTTAATTAAAAATCTATATTTAAATAGAATCTTCAAAAAAATGATCGATACCTTCAAATTATTGCTGATGTGAAAACTCGTTGGAATTTGTCATATCTTGCCTGGAAGCGGTTAATTGTAATAAAGGATTTTATCAATATTATGATAACAACACTTTGTATTGATTCAGATAAACAAGCAAAAAAAGATGGAAAATGATTCAAAGATATTAATCTTACCGAAGATGAGTGAAATGCAATTAGCGAGTTAATTCCAATTCTTGAACTTTTTGCTAATGCAACTGAATTATTAGGTGATAGCTAATACGCAACTGTAAGTTTTATGTATCCTGCAATTAATGTAATAACAAAAGGTGTAAAATCAAGTAATTCTAATTCTAATGAAGTGGAGGTTGTAGATTTTACTGAATCAAATACAGCATTTGATAATGATGTTGAATATGAAGATTCAGAAGATGGAGATATTGCTAATAATCAATCAAAATAACGTAAGATCAAGATTAATATACCACAAGATTGTAAAAATTTAATTTTAAAAGTCAAAAGTGCTTTATATGAGTCCATTACTCACTATTGGAATATCTCAGAAGACTATGGATTAATTGCAACATTATTAGATTCTCGTTGCAAATCCTTATTTTTTGTTTTCCCAGAACTTTACAGTAATATTCATTTGAAATTAAGATCAATTTATAATAAGATGAAATTAGAATATAGCGAACAGGAAAAGGATTGTCATGAAGAATATTTAACAAATTCATTATTGGCAAGTATGTTCAGTAGAAGATATAAACGTGGTAATGAAGTTACTGAATATCTAAGGGTTGAGGAAATTGGTTTTTCTGAGTGTCCTTTTAATTGGTAGTCTAAGAATGAAAACCGATTTCCAATTTTATCAAAAATGGCACGTAAATACTTGGCAATTCTTGCAACTTCCATACCAAGTGAAAGACTATTTAGTGATGCTGGAAATCTTATAACAGTTCGATGTACCAGTTTTTTACCTTCAACATTTGAACACCTCCTTTTTTTAAAACGAAATTGGGATTTGGTTGGATCTATATTTGCTGAAAAATAAGTTCAGATATCTAAAAGTGATGTATATATAAGTTAATTAGTTAAATTATTTTTATTTTTTTTTTTTAATTTAAAATTTATTTATTATAGAAAAAATGGAAAAGTTACGCTCATGCTGATGATTAAAATATGTTTAGCATATATTTGAATACATAAAAATTTGCGTACACAATTATTGAATAAAATAAAAATAAAAAATTATTTGTTATCGAAAAAATTATAAAAATTATAATTATTTATTTAACAATTTAGTATCCATTTTTAATCGCAAGTTATATCCAGTTATCTAAGGTTAAAAATGGATTTTTAACCAGTTAAGAAATTTGTCAAACGGATATGATCCATATGGATCAACAGATCACCAGTTCGAACCACTACATTTGAGTTGGCCCTGTTTTATTTATCTATCCCTTAGATATCATATATCTAAAAATAGTGTTCAGAAAGTATAACATAAAAGGAAATTTGGACTGCCGATCAAAATGATCTGCATCTGAGGATAGTGTGGTAAGATCATCCCCCAGATGACAGTTTTCATCCGGATCGAAGCACTAGTTGTACAAGATAGTATGATTCAGTGAAGATTATATATACTAGTTATGGTAAACATTAAGTTGGTAATACAATACTCACAATTAGTAATTTATCTCTCATTCCATAAAAAAAAACTCATGTATGAAATAGGCAAGTAGCCTAGTACATAAGTCATTATATTTCCATACTTAGTCAAATACAACCCCGTATGACCAAAAAATTTGCGTAACACTTTAATAAATACTCTGAGAATTCATCAAATCAAAATTCTAATGAGAAATGATTAATCATTTTTTTGTGTACTAATTATTTTTTTTGTGTACTGATCATGATGAATTTGGAAAAGTTTTCACAAGTATATATATATTCTCAAAATTTCTCTCACATTAAAAAACACCTGAAAATTCTTTTTTTTATAGAATTATCTCTAAAACGAAATGATGGTGTCAATAAATTGTTTACTCCTAAGAAAGACTTCTTTTCATGATACTTTTGCGGTTAATGTTGCTAATGATAATGACATTCGTGATTCTTTGGTCAAATTTGATAATTTAAAGATTTTAGACCTCAAGTATCTTATCTATAATGAGATTAATCATGATATTAAGTTTAATTATAATGACATTGACCTTTGGAAGATTAACATCGCTTACAATGATAACAAGCTTAAACATGTTACTACTGAAGATGAGTTTGGAGGCAAGAAGTTAATACCCATCCACTCAATTAAGAAACATTTTTTGGAATAATTGCTTGTAGATGAGAACATTCACGTCATAGTACAATTGTCCGCTGTCACTGCCACTGGTAAGTGTCCCCTAACGTTTTACCTCTCGAACAAGAAATTTGCAGTTGAAAAAATTATCGAGTTTGGTCTGATCTCTTTTTTTTAGCAGGTCTCTCCCAGCAGGGCATTACACAAGGTACAGTATCTAAATAACTTCAAGTATCTATTGGAATGATGTCAAAAAATTTCTAACAAATCTGCTAAATTTTGCTTTTTAATGCTCAAAAGATCGCTTGAGGAGGCCTTATTCATTATCTTGCAGAACATACCAGATAAAATTAAAACATCAATAACAAAAATCCCAGATATTATGCCACTAAAAGATCGTGATACTAATACAGTATTGAAGATATTCAACCGTAATGTTGCCAAAGATTTTTACCATTTACTAGCAAAGCGAAGTTTAACTTCCTTATCTGTAATAGGGTGGCCGGAATAGGTACTTTTGTTTGTAACTATGTATACATTATGTATTATCAATTGCTATTAATTTCTAACCTCACGTGTTAATCATCAGGTAAAACTTGTTGAGGAAAGGAGCTCTTCAACTCTGTTAAACGACATTGGAAACCACCATATGAATGGAAAAAACCAGAATACTTATATATAATTCTTGATTTCGTAAGTAGTATCCGCCTTGGTAATATTGATAAAAATTTGAACGCATCCACCATTCTTGATCTCTGTATTGCCTACAACTACTTTGCGCGCAAAAAAATGAGCTTTGAAATCTTCCAGACTTTAGCGCAGCTATATTTCATTTTTTTAAAATAAATTTTGTGTTCAGTGGTATTTTATTCCATCTAAACATTCATAGACTTGTTATTATACTTCACATCGATGAATATCAAGAAATTTTCACTTTTGAAAACAATAAAGGGCTTTTTAAAGAGATGATGTTAACTCTTGGACCTTTAATGACAGAATCTAATAGTGAATATTACGTCCAAACATTTTTATTGGGGACAGTAACGTAAGACGTAACCAAGGACTTCAAACAACAGAATATTCCTTTACATTTGTCCATTGTCCCCTCCTATTAACCAAATCAATTTTGGAAATTTTTGATTTTTTTGCTAAAAAAGAAGATAAGGAGGGATATTGGATGTGTAACACCAGTGTTTTACAACTTTTGTATAATACTAGTGAACTTCCACGAGCATTAGAAACCATTATTAACGAATGTTTCAAAAAAGAAACCTTCTTTCTAGACGTGAAGAATAATAATTTTACTTTATTTGATGACGTGTTCCAAGTCGTCATTAATAGTCTCGCAAATCAGTATAAACTAGATAAATTTATTAAGAATAATTGTAATATTAGTTATAAGCTCCTGTATTATTCTATCAGAGCCATTCCAGTTGATCTTGATACAGTTATAAGTAAAAAACTGAAAGTATTAACAGTGAAGGACTTAATGCGCGATGGGTATTTAATTCTAAAGAATATTGGTACTAAATACTTAGCAGAAATGCCTTTTTACTTTATTTATATATACTATAGATGGTTAAACATAGTCCCTGACACTACACACAAAATGCTCCAGCCTGATTCAAAGATGGTTTGGGATACTTTAGAGAAATTTGTAGCTAACTATAAGATATTTCGCAATAACCTATTTGCTAAGCTAAAGAAATATAAGAAAGGAATTTCTTTGAAAGAATTTTATCATGGGGCAGTTAGCAAAGACTTGGTTCTAGAAATTAAAATGGGACTCAAAAAATTAGACTTACGTGAGGCGAAAAACCAGTTTCCATAAACTGGCCTTCCAATAAACTGCTTAAATAACAAAGTCATGGATCTGAATGGCTTTGTTATTTTAAATGGCCACTCGGCACCATTTGCTGATATTTTTTTATTACGCAAAACAATTCCTGAAAGTAGAAATCTTCTTATAGCATTTCAACAGAAATGGTACACTACGTCACAAGAATTTACCATAGATGATGCTGTAATAGAATGTAATAAGAACAAAAATGCTTATAAAGATGTAGAAGATTACGATTTGAGGAAATTTCTTAAGGAGTCTTGTATTGTGACAGTCATTTTTACATCACGACCATTCAAAGGGAATCCTAACGATTTACCAGATGACTGTCTGATTATTGCAAAGAGGAACTTTAGTCAGTATTTTGGCCTCTTGTTTGCTTTACAATTGTCTTTTGATATTGTAAATCATCTCAATATCAACTCTTTAGAGCCCAAACAAATTGCTGAGAGAATTGATGGGATTGGAGATAAGGTTGGTTGCTGTAACTGAAGTAACAATTACTATATATCAAATTACAACTTTTAGTGGTTGTAATATTATAAATGTAAGTTGTAAATTGGCTGTAAATACTACACTATTGTAGTTAGCTAAAAGATGATAATTTTGATTTACAACCATTATATTTACTTGACTTTTGGACTTACAACTATTTATGGAGACCAAACATTAGTTGGAGAGGTTATATCTGAGGCCATATATAAAAATCGACCATATAAAAATGCCAGTGAACTTATTGAAAAGAACAAAACTTATAAGATTACACTTGAAAAAGCTAGAACACAGCTGGAAGATTGCTCATTCGCTCCACACTCATTCTTTCTAGATGTTGATGAGCATGATTTAATGATGATAGATGAATATGATGAATATGATGAATATGATTCATACTCAGATAATGAATGATACAAATACAGAAATAGATATAAATACAGATACAGATATGGAAGTTGTCTGAAATTTGGCAACCATACAGAGGGCGATCAAAAAAAAAATAAATTTCAAAAAAAAAAGAAAATCACTCTTTCGTGGCGTTGAATTTGTTTTTTCATTATTATCAAACCTTAAATTTTTTTTTCGCTTTAATATGCAGACACTTTTATTTTACCAAATTATGCTGAACATTATATATTGTTAAAATAGAAATGTGGCGCAGTAATTTTATGTAGATCAATTTTGTAGATCATTTCGTAGATCCCTTGATTTTTTGATTTTCTTGATTTATTTGATAAATCTGATAAATCTGATAAATTTGATATATTTGATTTATTTATTTTATTTGTTATATTTTATTTATTTGATATATTTATTTTATCTTATTTATTTATTTTATTTATTTATTTTATTTATTTATTATATTTGTTTTATTTATTTTATCAAATATTCTTGATTTTTATTTTATTATAAATAGTGATAGGATTTTACCAAGTAGAAGGGGGAGGTCAGATAGTTAGTTAAGAATTGTATTGTAGTTTTCAAGTTATACGAAAAGAGTATTATTCCCAGTAGTATAATTCAAGATAGTTAATTTCGCAACCAAGAGATTATCTATATTTTTCGTCGTATCTAAAATCTTACATTATTTTAATAAAAACCTATTTTCTTTAACTGAACATCCAACGTTATTTTACGTGATTATTTGTGATCAACTTAAGACTCTCCTATTAAGTTAAACTCCAGTTAACCTGTTAAAGCGTTAAAGTTTTTCAGTCGGCTTTAATCGTTGACAGGATAACAATATTAATGTAATATAAATTAAACATTATTCTGTACTTACAGTCATAATAAACAAGAATTTTTTGGGAATATGAAAATGCTCATTGCAAAAATTCTATGATTTATATAACAAGTATAATAATAAGTTAAAAATTATAAAAAATACCATAATTTAGTCATTATTAATCCAATCAATATGTATTTGCTATCATTTGAAATGTCTCAATGAGACGAATATAATGAGCTAAAGATCATGAAAATCCAATCATTGGATCAAAAAATATTCATATGGAAATATCTAAATGTTTAAAAACATAATTGTACACTGAATATTGATTATGTAAAGATGATATTACTATCATTCAAATCCTTTCAATGAGACGAATCAAATGAATGTAAAATTATGAAATGTCAATCACTAGATACCCAAATATCTTTAAATGTCTGTATAATATTAATCGCCCTCTGTATTACGCATCTACAAAAACATTAATATAGTGTGTGTATATTGTATTATTTTTATTATCTGCATCAGATGAGTTACTTATTGAAGAATTAATCGAATGTATTCAAGATCATTTAATTAAAAAAACAACTGAAATATATTGGATTCAACAAAATTTTTCTTTTGTTCTCAATACTATTTTTATCTTGCTTGTAATATTATTAACATGTATTCTAATATGTAATAAATACTATAATATATTCGTTCTGTAATAAAAAATTTTAAATTGCTTCTATGATTTCCATAATAAATTATCAAATTCCAACATATATTCCATTCCTATATTTATGTTATTTTCTTTAACCAATTCCCACCTATATGATGAATGGTGTGATTAATTTAAAAATAAATACCTTTGTAAGTATTTGAAATATATACTTTATTGAGAAGAGCTAATATTAAAATTTCTCAAAATCTTACCTTACAGAATTATTTAATTTTGAAAAATGAAAAAAATGGAAAAAAACAAAAAACAAAAAAAATGAAATTTTTTGTGATTTTTGCAGATTTTGAAGTTATTATCTCAATTTATAAAATATCAGTGTTTTTTAAATTACTTTTTTTATTATTATTATACTCAAAGGGAATTACTTTTTTTTAAAAAAATTATAGTAATATATATTTAAAAGTATTTATACATAAATTTTTAGTTTTCTAGCAAACACTTTTATTAATCAAAAAAAAAGTGAGGCAATTTTTTCTCAAATTATGCTAAAATTATGTCAATTGGCAACTTTAAAAGATTATTTGCAAAATTTTTAAATCTTATAAAAATCATATTAAACATTTGAATAAAGAGACCAAATGTCAAAGTTTTTTTAATAAAAAATTTCAAGCTAATTTAGCTAAAACTTAATAGACTTATTTATCTATGGAAGAAAGATTTCATATGATTTTCCATATTTTTTGATTTATAAGCAAATTTGTAAAATTTTGAACTTTTTAATAATTATATTAAATCCATATATAAAATAGATCAAATGAAGTTTTTTCAGTAAAAATTTCAAGAAATTTGATAAACTTGCCTATGTCGGGAATCATTCTTCTTTTTACTTCCTATTATAGGCGGGCGGATCGGCAATTAATAATTTAAATTTATACTATTGAATTAATTTAATAAAAAAATTAATTTTTTTAATTATATATCGTACCCTTTTTGCTGATTTTACTGATCTCTTCCCTAGTTTGTTTAGTTAGTCGCTCATTATACTTTTCTCTTTTTCCCAATTAGCCCTTCGAGAAATATTCCGTTTTTTAATTTATACTCTATACTCTTAGCTATGCCATGCGCTATATGCGCTATAGGTTCTTTTTGTATAGTAGGAAAAATTTTTTTGCGGAATCGGACTGAGCCGATTTGACCTGGTCTAACGTAGAGAGTTAATAAAATTTTGTGATCTTATGATTGAAATGGGTTCGCATGATCGAACTTTACAATTAATTTGTTGATTATTAAGATAGCCAAAAAAAAAAATTAGCCAAACAGATAAAACACATGTAAACATCTCAGATATTAGCAAAAAAAAAATTTTCAATTTCAATTAAAAAATCAATTCTTTCGATATTAACCATGTGGTTGATAAGGACGTCATAGCGGATAAGCGGAATACAGAAGGCCAGGCGAAATTTCAAAAATATTTTTTTATTAATTAGACTCAGTGAATTTGGACTTGGAATTTTCTGATTTTATTTTATTTTTTTTATTAGAAACTGTTAATATTAGATATTAAATGACATAATATTATTTGAAAGTTTAACAATTCAATTTAAAATTTCAACAATAAAACAATAAATAGTTTATTAGTTATAGTGATTTACAGAATTGTCGATCAAGTATCGCCTAATTGCCGCAATAAAAAAACTCATATTGCTTAATTAAAAAAAAAGCGGGCCTGTATCACTAATTGAAATTAATTGATCGGAATTGATCGGCAATTTAAATCATAAAGATTCGAACTTTCGAATCGATTCCAAACAATTTATTATTATTATATCAAAAAAGGAAAATAAAAAGAATTTTCACAAGAAAACATATGATAAATAGCCGACTTACAGCTAATCTCAAAATTATAAGAATAAATTATACTGTAAACGGAAATAAATGGGTTAAGCATCTATCTTTTTACTATGAACGTCTTTCATTCTAGAATGACATAATAAAAATAGTAAGGCCATTCATAATAAAATATTGCTAATATATCCTTAATTCTAATTTAATTTAACACGTTTAAGATTTTTTTCATACGAAGATTCGTTGTATTGTGAAATTTGTTATATTAAAATTCGCTATAAAAAGGGCAACAATCACACTTTTATCTCATCATTAGATATATAACAATGGCTTTCTATGGAATCTTTTTCTTTTATATTATTTTTTGGACAGCAGTAGTCTCGCCCACGCCAATTTTGAACCGGGGGTATATACCAAAAACAAATAATATTGATTTCACTATAGAAAAAGTTACTTTAGCTCCAGATGGATTTACTCGTCAATTATCAACCGTTAATGGACAATTTCCTGGACCAACCATAGAAGTTAACAAAGGAGATCGTATTTTGATGAAAATTCGTAATAAATTGGGAGAATCAACAGGTAATTTGTAACGAATATTTTCTTATGTTTTATGTGTTGTACGTGTTTTTAAGCGAATATTGCAAAATGAAATATTAGCTATGCATGCGCACGGAATGCTTCAAAGAGGGACTCCTTGGTATGTGATTTTTTTTTGTCGGAATTAATTTTTACAAAGACCATACTAATTTCACAATCGACTATATAGGTTCGATGGAGTACCATGGATGGTGAGTTTATGGAAAAAACCGATTCGTATAATTATATTCTTTCAATCTTGACCAATCATTGATTAACACGTACACTATCAGGCTCAATGCGTTATACCAGACGACTACGAATTCACCTACAATTTCACTGTTGCCGACCAAGTCGGCACTCATTGGTAGTAAGTATTTATGAGACCAAAAAAAAAAAATCATTTGAACTCCTATGTACTCACTGTATATCTATAATATTTCTTTAGTCATGCGCATGAAACGATGCAATATGTTGATGGAGTTTTTGGCGCGTTAAGTAAGTTATTTAATTATTTAATTTAAATCGACTTTTTTTTTAATCTAATTCCTTATGACTTTTATTAGTTATTCACGATCCTGATGATCCGTTTAAATCGGAATATGATGAGGAAATTATTGTCATGCTGAATGATTATCATCACACCAATGCACAAATTTTATTAAAACAATTCTTAACTCCTGAAAGTCATGGAGAGGAGGTAAATTAATGTTTGAAGCTTAATTCGAAATTCTTAAATTCATATTAATTCATTCTCGTTATATTATAATAGCCAGGTAAGAAAGATTGATATAAGTACAAAGGTATGACCGCGTGATGCTAATTAGAACGATTCTTGCACCTACAGTTCCCGATAACGGTTTGATCAATGGAAAAAATAATTTCGATTGCTCCAAGGCCCCACCGGGTTCTAAATGTGTGGATAATGCCGGTCTTGCTAAATTTGAATTTGTTAAAGATAAAAAATATCGCCTTCGTATCATTAATACTAGGTAATCTACATCATCGTATTATGCAATTCAAAAAAAAAAATAAAATTAAAAGTGACGAGCGCTTTTATTTTTCTAGCGCATTTTCGGCATTCTTCTTTTCTATTGATAAACATGATATGGAAGTTATAGAAGCAGACGGTCTCTACACTAAACGAAATAAAATCCATCGTCTTCCCATCAATGTCGCTCAAAGATATTCTGTTATTGTTACTGCAAACCAACCTGTTGATAATTATATAATGCGTTCTGAATTTCAAAAGACAATTAATCTTCCTAATATAAAAGCTATAGTACATTATGAAGGAGCCCCCGATGATCCTGAACCAAAAGATAATCCATGGTCAGATTCCTTGACAGAATACGTTGATCTAGATCACAAGACTTTACAACCATTAGAAGAAGAAAAGATTCCCGAATCAACGAAAAAATTCGAATTCAAAATTGATTTTCATAAGAATTCAACAGGAGTTGTTAAAGCTTTCCTTAATAATTCTTCTTATATACCCGATATAAATTTTCCGACTTTAGATAAAATCTTTAAAAAGAAATCATTTAACGAAACTAGTGCAAATGCCTATATTTTTGATAAAGATGGAGAAGTAGTTGATATGTATTTCATCAGTAAGTATAATTAATTAATAATTGTATAAGAATTTTCAATTTTATGATTTTATTAACAAATATTTTTTTTTTAGATTCTGACGATGGCGAACATCCGTTTCACATTGTATGTAAAATTAATTAATCGGCATAAATGTTTTAAAAAAATTAACTTTTTTTTCTAAAAACTTAGCATGGATACCAATTTTGGGTACTTGGAACCGGAAATGGAGATAAAGTTGATGAAAATGAATTGAATACACACAATCCAATCAAGCGTGATACTGCAACAATACCTGCATCAGGGTAAAAAATTTCGCGTTTTCTTTCACCGGTGACATATAATGGGTGACAAATAGTCCCCATTAGTAAAATGAAAAACAGACTAAACAGGCGAATGTAATTTTTTTTAGGTGGATTGCCATCAGATTTGTTTCCGACAATCCCGGAGCCTGGGGAATACACTGTCACATGATATGCTATCGTTTCATTCCGTTTTTGTTCATTATATTGTTTTTTTTTGACAAATTCACTAACATTTTTTTCCTTTATTTCCATTTCATTTTTGTTTTACGAGGTATGTAAAGATTTTTTTGGTGATACATGAAAAAATGAATACGATTCTGATTTTAAAACAACTTCATCTTTTATAGTGGCATTTGGAATCTGGTCTTTTGATACAGTTGGTCACACTTCCAGAAGAAGTGCTAAAAATGCAACCTCCGGAAGAATGGACCAAATTATGTGAATTAGGTGAACGTTAGATTAACATACTTGAACAATAGTACTTTACTATCAATGTAGATTTTTTGATAATCATATAAAAAACCTTGTCATAAGTATGTTATAAAATTCATGAGCGCCTAACCAGTTATTATAGTGTAGAACACTATGTCATATATGTATTACAACACATGATTTATTTCGCATTACAATAGATATATTATACATAATTGCAATATCAATGATTTATATTTATAACATGTATATTATTATTATTAATAATCCTGTCACAATAATTACGTAATTAAATAATAAAATCCATTAAATATATTCCATATTATTTATATATATATATATATATTATGTAATCCTTCTGTGTACATCTGTGTATGAAATGCACTCTAAGTTACTAATCAACAATTATTAACGGGTGAAGATGAAACCATGAATTATCATCACTTTCTTGCAAGCAGTAGATGGGCCTGTTATAGGATCAACATTACCATTTTATAGAACCAATCAACTAAAGGAGAGAGATTAATACATCCATAATCTTCACACGCCTACAGATCATCATATTTTCAAGGAATGCCAATCTGCTTATTTACTATGTTTTAATCGTGATAAATCACTGACATGTAAAACTTGTTACAATTATAATTAAAAAATTTGGTTAGCTTAAATTTAAAATTTTTAATATAAATGACATCCTTAAAGTATTTAATTATTTAGTGCATTGTTCTTTTAATAAAAAAAAATCATTATTTTATAATTGGCGAATTAAAATCAAATGTCCGAGTAATTTTTTTTTTGTTAATTTATAAAGAAATTTGATAAAACTCTATTATATAATAAAAATTCGCATAAGCATTATAATATCATATAAAATTATCGTATAATATGACCAATAGATTCAGTAACGAAAATATTATTCACATATCAAGTAGATAGAGTTGTCGTGTAAGGGAATCTACGTTTAAGGAGGAGTAGGACCGTTGTCAGGCGGTGTGAGATCAGGAGGAGATGGAGGTGGTGTATCAGGTTGTGTAACTGGTTGTGTACCTGTTTTTAATCGGAGAATCGACGTTAGTATAAATGTTATGCATTATTTCCCATATTCAATCAATGTATATGATTTTTTTTTGCAGGAAATGGGATTAAATAAGCGATAAATTTGTTAATACAATACCTCCTTGTGGAATGCAATAAGTTTGTGAAATTAAAACCAACACCATCATTAAAAATACGAGCACAAAATTGTATTTAGATTCAAGAAAAATCATGTTGAATAATTTGTTTTTAAAATTGAATAATTTTTTTGTTTTTTAAAACTTTAAATAATTCTTTTGTTTTTAAAACTTTATGTCAGTTGTTAGTGTGCGGATTTGTCCTGCTTATACAGTAAAACCTTTATATAACGATATGTCGGGACATATATGAAATTTTTAGAAAATATCGTTATATCAAAGTTAACGATATTTATATGTCCTCACATATAGTGGAAAAATAAAATTTTATCGGTATATCAAGTTTTTAATAGTATATCGGTATATCGAGGTTAGACTGTATACATTTTTTTTTTCGATAAAGAAATTCATTCATTTAAGAATTAAATTTCTAATTTTGTGACCTAATAGAGTATATATATAATTACGAGCTTGATATTTCTTTTAGAATGTTGTTTATAATCATTATCAAATATCATATTATATTCTTGCCGATTTACATGTATTTATTACATAGCCCCAATTTCTTAATTAGTAATTATATTCGGGTATTGTCCTATCCGGATATCCGGCATCTGGTATAGATTTTTCGGTTATCCGGGTACAAATCTACAGAATGAATTCAGGTTATTCTTAACGGTGACGGATTTATTTGTAATGATTGTAATAATAGATAAATTAACGATGAGCCACAATTGGAGATCACTCTAGATCTAGATTCAATCGGAAATCGGTACCTGCTGATTTTAGTTAGTATTGATAAGAAATTTTTTTTTTATAATCGTGTTACTTGGTTTTCTTCCCGAATTTTATTTATCACCGTTCATGGTAAAATTGTATCATTAATTAATGATTTAATAATAAACTTGGAATAGTTACTTTTTTACCTATTTATATACGAAATTACGAATAAAATTTAATATAATTTAAGATTAATCATAACACTTTTAATATTGAATCAAATTTAGCTTGTTGATCCATCTTCTAAACGTTCTAATGCAATATCATCTTTTAAATCTTCATCAATGTCGTCACCTAAAAGTTTTAATAATTCAAAATTATTATTACGTAAATCTAAATATCTTTTGCGTGTAGTTCTTAATTTTTCTAAATAATAAGCATCAATATAATACTCTTTTAATAAGTGTTCTAATACAGCTACTCTGTCACTTAATTCAGCACCTAGTGGTAATTTACGTGGATCATCTGCTAAAGGAATACCCGCACGAGAAACGTATCTACTCGCTAAATGTCTTTTAAAACTCCGACGATATGACCAACAGCATACATATTTTTGACAAATTCCCCTTAAAACATAAATAAGTAAATGTTTACGATTTTAACATATAAATTATAAAGTATTAATATTCGTACTATATTTACCATGGAGTAAGTTTTGAAGCACCAAATAATAAAACAAATATCCCACTTAAGGCACCATAAAAACCGCCAATATTTGAAATAACTCTGGCAACTAAAAAAATAAATTTTGAAAATTAATTAACAAAAAAATATGAATATGAATAATAAATTTAGATGTTACCAGTGATTTGAAATTTTTGTTGTTCACGAATTATGAAATTATATTGAAATCTTAGCTCTAACGCTGTATATGAAGCGTTTGGTGTTGAAGCGAGTTCTTTCTCTTCAATTTCAAGAAATGTGGAAATGTTACTTGCTTTAAAACCAAGGTACCCAGAAAAATATGACGAATAAGATATTCTCTCCTTGAGAATAAGTTCATAAATAACATATCGTCCTCGTGTAATAAAATATTGGTTAGGAATTAAAGTCGTATTAACATCCTTAAGATCTTTATTTGGATTTCTATTGGATAACGCTGACTGTATTGTTAAATTTCTTTTATTAATGGTTATTGATTCAAAATTGATTTCGAAATAACTATAAATTGATGAATTATCCAAAGTGATAATAAAAAGAAGTTCATTAGCCACAAAGAATGGCTTGAATTCTACAATTCTGGAAAATTCATCATTTATAGAAGGAGGAATAAATATTCTACAACGATTGTTATCATGATCACGTATAAAAAAATTGGCATTTGTAGGAATTGAGTAATTGTTATGTAATTCGTATAATGTGTTAAAATCATATAGATTCAAATCATTCAATCCATGAACTATAAGATTAATAATTAAAGATTAATTAACGTTAATGTAAACAAAATTATTAATATTTAAGATTGGGAAAACTCACTCTTATTATCATAAAAAGAATAATCGTTAGGAATATATAACTGTGAACTTGAAATATCGCGATATAATTTATATAATGATATATTTAATGTATCAATTGTATCATCGCCATTATAATTACCTATTATTGTGAACTGAAATTAATAAACATGAACTAATTGATTAAATTTTTTAAAAAAAGTTTATTCTTACTCAAAACTTTTGGACAAACTCTAAATCCTATTATTTAAAAAGAATATGATTATTAATCAATTAACTTAAATTTTATATTAATATAATAATTAATAGATACCCGGATAAGTAAAGTGTTCGTCTAATTCACTTATATACAAGTTCGGTTCGTCAATATTGGAAACGAATTCTTCAAATGAAATCCACGCGTAAATAATAATGAAAGATGAGAATATAATTGCAATAAAAAGTCGCAATATACTGAAACACTTTGGTTCTGAAGTTCGAAATGGAGGACAAGATTTAAAAAAAAACATTTTATAGCAATAGTCTTTAAAAAAAGCAGATAATTAAAAGTGAGTAACTGCAATACTATACTAAAGTAAATAAGTATTTCTCAATAAATTGCGATATGAAATGAAAAGCCACATTAATAATACCGAACTCAATACCGTTCATTACCCAAGCCACGGTATACGAGAAAACTATAAGTAGATTCAGCGGGTAATACCCGTTCTGCATCTTCATTTCCACATTCGGAGGTAAGAAATTTTTAAATTTACTAACAAAGTAACTCTTCCCCATCATCATTAATATGGAGAAATCTCTTCATTATTTGAAATCATTCAAGACATGTTTGCCAAATTCAAGCATATTAGAGGGTTTAATTTGTTTTATTATTATTATAAATACTCTGTATATCCTGTTCGGAAGCGTTTACAATCTATTAATGAAAACAAATAAATTAGAAGTAATTATTTTATATTGGTCATCCTCTTTTATGAGTCCAATTTTAATGATTATGTCGGGAATTGTTACGGTAACTATTATATCCTGATTTCTTTAAATAACGGTTTATCATAATTATATCTTTTGTATGATTATAGATATCTTTAAGGACTTTTATTCATACGAATATATATTTATTCATGAATGTCCTGACTATCCTCAATCCTAATACATTAGAATTTCTTTATACCATACGAGTGTATGTGTATTTTAAGGAGTATATGTATTTTAATATTACCATTTGGTTATCTTTATTAATAATGAATTTTATGCTATATTGGAAAAGGTAAATAAATTAAACATTGTTTTTGATAGATTACATTATAAAATTATTCATTAACACAATCTATAAATTTATTTAACATATTTAGAAAAAGACAAGAAAGCTTTAATGTCGATAGTGAAAATATTATCGATGACGAAAAAATTCGCGAAATTAAAAGTGAATTTTATTTTATTTTATTTTATTTTTTCATTTTGTCTATTATAGAGATAATTTATGCATCATACTTTTTTTTAGAGATTTATTTCAATTATAATGTGCAAAAAGTTTTATGTCACGCACAAATTATAATTGTTTATTTTGTACATTTTAATTTTATAAACGTAATTAAACCGGATGAATACATATTCAAAAGTCCGATTTCCCTCTTACAATTTATCTCTTGGCCAAATTTCCTTTTGTGTATCATTACTTTCACAATGATTGAAGGAGTAATTAATTTAAGCTTTTCCTTTTTTAGAATATAGTTAATTAATTTTTGTATTAATTTTTTTACAGGTTCGCAATGAATCAAAATGCAAAATGATTTTCTTCTATCTTTCTAGTTTTGCGCTTTGTGTATTTCATATTTACGTATTTATCGAATTTCTAGTTAACATAAGTAAGTGCACGTTATCGTTATTATATCCATTTTATCTGTTCAATTTATTGATCGACTTTATTCGTTTTTTTTTTTGAAGAATTTTTAAGAGTAGTGGGAGGGTCAATTGGGATGAAAATTACCTACATAATTTGTATGGTAATTGTTCCTTTTCTCTTAACAGTAATTACAATTATAAATTCTATAATTTGTCATAGAAATTTTGGAAAAGGTTTAAAAATTTATTGTAAGTATAAAAATTTTTTTTCTTTATTTTATAAAAATTACAATTAATTTATTAAAAATAATTATGATATTTAGTAAATTATGATCCACGAACTTTTAAGGAATTAATTAGATATACTGATGATCTTGATCAATGTTATAAAGATGACGATTGATTTTAAAGATGCGTGATACCTTTACGATCACGGATTTTTTTTATCCGGATATTAACTGGATGAAATTTGTAATATCCTTCTTTGATTGATTGTAACGATGAGCCACAAATGAAGATCACCCTAGATCGTAAATATAATTCAAATTTATTCACTTGCTGATTTTAGTTAGCTGGACGCAACAGTATTGAATTGTGTTACTCGATTTCTTATTTGCATTTCGTTTATTAATAATATATATATATTCATGCTAAAATTCTCATTAATTAAAAATCACTTGTTTAATCTTTTATATACTACGAATAACATTTTTTTGTGTGTGGATCTGAATTTTTCTAAATAATAAGCTAGAGGTCCGTCCAAAAAAACCTTAACCGGTTAATATGAAAAATATTTTAAAAATTTTATTGTACCGATTTTTGATTTTACTAACACTGTAACACATTTAGTTGAAAGATTATTATTTTCATCAATACCATTATTAATAAATAGCGAGTTTGGGAACACATGGCTGAAATTACCAAGTCTCTGGGCCGCATTAAGTAAATCTGACCAGAATTATGGATTTACGGTCAAAATAGTTTTAACCGGTTAACCGATGTCTTAACCGGTTAACCGTCTTAACCGGTTCCAACCTCTATTAAATAAGCATCAATATAATATTCTTTTAATAATTGTTTTAATACAGCTACTCAATCTTCTATACTAGCACTTTGCAGTAGTTCACGTGGATCATCTGCTAAAGGAATTGCAATAGATTTGGACAATCCGCAGGAATCCAAACTTGCACGGGAAACATATCTACTCGTTCTGCAATTAATTCATGAGTTATAAGATTGATATTGTAGACAAAATTATCGATATTTATTAGGGATATATAGAAATATTGCGATATAATTACTATAGTGTCATGCTTAATGAATAATGAGTCGATCACCATAATAATTGTGTGTTATATATCAAATTCGAAATATGCAATAAATTCTTAAAATTTTTGGGCAAATTTTAAATCCTATTTTTTCTTTAAAAAAAAACAATTGACTTAAATTATATACTATATATTGCAAAGAAAAAAAATAATAATTAGTAGATTCTGTAGTTCGAAATGGAGGACAAAAAAACAATTTTATGGCAATAAACCTTGATGAAAAAAAGATAATAAATAAAGATGAGTAAATAAGTTGCTATTTCCAAAACTTTGAAATGAAAGCCACAATTACTAATAATAGAATACCGAACTCTGTCCAAGCCACGAACCCACGATGTACAAGATAGGTTAATGAAAGATGAAAGCCACAATAACTAATAATAAAATACCGAACTCTGTCCAAGCCACGATTATACTTACCGTCGGAATTAATTACGGCATATGAAGCTTATACCGTAATACATTAAATCGCCGTAATGCCGTAATTATTTCATGTTAAAAATACAAAAATTACACAAAGTAAGTAAAATATTTTTTTCTTGTTATGTTATGCTGTAAATAATTTGTAATCCGTAAATCTATAATGCTGGTCTCGATGATTTGTTAAATATTTAAATGGTAAAATCCATATTTTGTGATGCCGTAATTTCAATTTGGCAATTCCGACGGCACCTATAGCCACGATGTACAAGAAAATATATATGTATATATATATATATTAAGTTCACCCGTTCTGTGTCTATTTACATTTCCACAATCAGGATTTATTAGAATTTTTAAATCTACTATTAAAGTTGCTTTTCATTATTATTAATATGCGGCAATTATCTCATGATGATTTGAGAAATGTGGCTAAATTTAAGCGTAATAGAGAATTTTTTTTTATTATAAATGTTCTGTTTTGCACGGTCTTCTACATTTACCACAAATAACGGTAACTATTATAAATCTATCTCTCTTGAATATCTCGTTGATTCTTAATCTTAGTAGACATGTCAATAAAGCGTATGAGAATTTTCATATTGCAAGTTGTTTAGTGAACTTTTTATTATATTGGAAAGGGTAAATAAATTAACATTATTTTTGAATAGATTACATTGTAAAAATGGATCTAACCCAGCCTTTAACAATTTTAGGAAAAAGAAAGAAAGTTTTAACATCGATGGCGAAATTAAAAGTAAATTTTATTTGATTTTAATTTTCATATTATTTGTATATTTAATTATAAAGATAACCGGATATATTATTTTTTTTTTTGATCTTTTTCAATTATAGCGTACAAAAAGTTTTGTGTCATGCATAACGCTCCTCTCGTAAATAAGCAGATGGATACAAATTGAAAAATTCGGTTTCTCTCTTACAATTTATCTCTTGGCCAAGTTTTCTTCCATTTATCATTGCTTTTACAATGATTGAAGGGGACAATTATAAATTCTATAATCTGTCATAGAAATTTTGGAAAAAGACAAATAATTTGTTGTAAGTACAAAAATTTTCTTTATCTTATAAAAATTACGATTGATTTATTAAAATAATTATGGCATTTTAGTCAATTATGAATCACAAATAATTGAATACAAGGATAATCTTGAATTTTGTATTAAACAAAATATTACCTACTATACCTAAATTTTATCAAAGAATAATTTTATATTATTTATAATGTGCTGTAGTTCAAGTATTCATTAGTCCATACTTTAAATAATTTTATACTTGAATATATTATTTATAAAATGCTGTAGTTCAATATTCATTAGAGTCCATACTTTAAATAATTTTATTCTTGAATATTTCAATTATTCATCAATGTTTTAAAAAGAAGAATCTTAAATTTTATGACTATCGCAAAATGATTTAAATTAAGATGGATTTTGCGCTACTATGTATATAAAATAAAGTAAAGTGCGTATATAATGTAAATTTATATGGCTTCAACCATATAAATTCTTCGAGAAAATTATCAATATGAGAGTGGAAAAATTACAGATTATTTGAGTAATCCTATGAATGTCATAATTGGGATTCGCGATACGCGTAAAGTCATCAACGTATAATCGTATGTCACGTGCCGCAGTTACTTTACCGTTACGTACGATACGTATGATATGACGGCTAAATATTCACCACTAAATCTATAAAAATATTTTTATACAGGAAAATTATTGTAAATTCATGTGCGAGAATGAAAGATAGTTTATATAGGTAGTGAATAGTAAGACATATAATATATCACTTTAATTAGTTATTGATAATAATTCGTCATTATTTTATTTAAAATAAAAGAGTCAAACACTTGAAACACTTGATATCAACTTATTTTTTCAATAAATATTCCATTGTTCAATCAATATTAAGCGTACAAACGCAAAGTAATCGTAAATAAATTGGAGTTAGTCCGAAGCTGCATAAAGGATCAGCCCGAAATATTTGATTTTTGATTTTCTAAAAAAAGATGTTTGGAGTCGTTCCGAAATCACGATATATGTAATTTATCTGACAAGGTAATTTGGAGAGACAAACAAACCTTAATTGGTCCGGTTCGGATAAATAAAGTTTTCTAAAATGGATTTATTAATTTTTTTTCTAATTTAGAAAATTTTATTTGGCTACACTTTACTTTATGCAATCTCATCATGAGAAAATTACATAGATGTTAATGTTACACTGGCTACATTGCATGAGTTACATTTATAGACGCATTTTGTATAACTTCTTTGTACAATTCCCGTGATCATTTTTAACCGTAGTAAAAAATTGAAAAAAAAATAATTGAAAGTCGTATGATAAAATGCCCTAGATCAATTCATTTTATCAAAAAAGATTTGACCAAGCGCAATAAAGTTAAATTAATTTTTTTTTTTAAAAAAAAAAAAAGAAAGAAAACTACTACTTTTTAGAAATTCTTCATAGAAACATGGGTCTTTCGGCAAAAATTCAGCCATTTACAAATGACTTACAGTAAGTTACACAAGGAACTACTATTTCCGTAAATTACCCGTTGACCACATTTAATTATGGAACGGATAAATTGCAAATACCGAAAGAAAAAATTTTAATATAAATATCATTCTTGTAATTAACGAAATTAACCCCTATGTCAATTTACACCTTCAACTAAAAAAAAATAAAAATAAAAAGAATACGCAAATATTAAATATGACTTTGCTTAAATTCTTTAATAATCTTGAAATTAGTGATTACCTTTCATTTATAGGTATCATTTTAACAATCTATGTAGCACATTATTATTATAAATACTTCACTCGCGTTAATCCTTTACCTGGTCCTTTCCCACTTCCATTCTTTGGAAATTTACTTCAATTCTTTTGGTATGATGATCTTAAATTATATTTCATAAATAATCACAAGAAATATGGTGACATATTTGAAGTTTATTTGGGAATAAGACGTATTGTCTTAAATCGACCTGAAGATATTGAAAAACTTTTAATGCCTTCAACAAAAAGTCAATATTTGATGAGATTTCCTTACACCGAAGGATTAGACGAAATCGGAATGATGGGAAAAGGAATCTTAGCAAATCATAATTTGAAATCATGGAGATATAATCGTCAATTTTTTACACAAGCTATATTGGCACCAAAATTTACTAATGAAGCTATTGATTGGACAAATAAACTTTTCAATGAATTGGAAGGTTATTGGAATAAATTGTACCTTAAAGAAGAAATTATTAAAGAAAATAAAAATGTATTAGATTTTTCTGCATGGTTAAATCGATATACAAATGATATGATTATTGCACTAACAACGGGTGAAAGATCTTATACAATGGCGGGTTACTTTAATATTCAAGGTGAAGAGAAGGCTGAACATCCATTGGCGATAGTAGATGATTCTGAGAAATTTGTCCGAGCATTTCGTAAACATATTTTAAACGTTGCAATATTTGTTTTTTTACCATCTTTCGTCCGACATTATATTCCATTTGTTAAGGGTAAAACAGATGATTTGATTCAAAACGTAGGATTTATTTATGATAGGATTGATACTATTGTTAAGAGACGCAAAGAAGAAATTGAAAATACACCATTGGATAAACCTTTACCACATGATATGTTGACATCAGTTATTACAGCGAATACACCTCGCGATATTAATTATACTAAAACTGTTGGTGGCGAAGCTTTAGAAAGACCTATGAATGATATTGAAATCCGTCATATCATGTTTGATGCATTTATTGGTGGAACCGATACAGTAAGTAAAATTTTTAAAGATTTTTTTTTAATAAAATATATTTACTTATTATTAACTCTTTTTTTTCAAATATAGACTGCTAATATGATCACATTCATTGCTTATTTTGTTGCACATCATCCGGAAGTGAAAAAGAAGCTGCTAGAAGAAATTGATAGAGTATTCCAAGGTGATAAAACGCGTCCAATCACTGAAAGTGATTTCCATAGCTTAAAATATTGTGAAGCGATTATAAAAGAAGTCTCTCGTGTTCATCCAGTTGCGAATATGATAGCGAGGTATTCTCAAGAACCTGATGAAATAGCAGGATATAAATGGCCAGCCGGTACAATGTTTCAAATAAATGCTGTTACTATTCATAGACTTAATAGTCATTGGGAAGAAGCGGATAAATTCAATCCTGATAGATGGATGGATAAAGGTTTTGAACCCGATAAATATTCTTTTATCATGTTTGGTGGAGGTTTAAGAGTCTGTCCTGGAAGAAAATTGGCAATGATTGAATTGGTTTGTTTGATGGCCTTATTATATAGAAAATATGATATTGATTTAGCTGATATGAATGCTCCTTTAAAAACTAAATCTATTGGTATTACTACTTGTAAAGAATTATTAGTTAAAATCAAACCAAGAAATTAACTTTTCCATATCTCATATTTATATTTATACATACATTCACATATATATATTTTTGCAATTTTTTATCTATAACCTTTTTATCTTTTATATTTTTATATTCCTAAGATAAATTATAAATAAAGACATATTTTATTTTCATGTATATGAATAATCGGATTTATTTAATGAAAATATCAAAAAAAAAAAAAATATCATAATGAATTATGAATTATATTGGATTATATAAATATTTGACCTCAACGCCTATAACGGCTCATTTTTACGGTATGAATTATTAAACATTATCATATAACCTATAAATACATCATTTTATTTAATAATACGCGAGACGAAATTTGGAAAACTTGAAAGAAAAAAATATATAAATTATTTGACAGGGGACTGAGACGGAAAATAAGACGAGATAGAGAGCTAGGACGATTGTTTTATTTTGTAATTAATTATTTTTAATTAAACGACAAATTTTTTTATTTGTAAATAGTAATTTATTGATTTTTCTATTTTTTGAACGATGTAGATTCTTTTAATATATATATATATATATATATTTTTCTAAATTTATTCTACGCGTAAAAATGGTTTTTATTATAAGGAGATTTCAGCCATAGTAAGCTCGAAAATATCAAGAAAGTTAGTAAATAATTATTTATTAAAAATTTAGTTATTATCAAAAAAATTAACGATGAAAGAGCGACGTATACGTATTATACGTATTATTGTACCATAGTATACGTGTGTACAACTGATCAAGGTTACTAAAATTTAAACATTACTGTGCGAAATTATTATGATTATTTGTGTAAAAAAATTATGCATACTTGATATAGTAAAGACCATTAATGTGTTACCATTTAGAAATTAGAACTGCACAAAATGAAATAAACTCGTGAATGCGATACCAGGAGAAATTATGCATTAATTTAAAACAAGACATAACTGTACTAATACATCGGAGACGGGTAAATTATGTGGAAATATTTTCAAAGGTGTTTTTAAAAAAATTTACCCGATTCCAGTTTTACCGAACCCACCGAACCGTAATTTTACCGAAAATCGGGAACTCATTTTGCCGAAAATTAAGCGGCCTTTAAAACCCCAAAATAGTACCTTTTAACTTGTGCTTATTACAGTTTGGCCTTGAAATTTATTATGATTGGCGTTATGATTTAATTATTATCAATATTTCAATATTTTTTCAAACTGATATAATTGGTTAATTCAGCGATATAATAAATACTTGTTATTCCATGAATAACTGAAATACTCACCGATTCCTCGAGGACTTTTACATTCTACGCAATGTTTGTCCGTCCCACACGTGACTTATATACACGTGACCATTTATTTAAGCTTTATTACTATTAGCTTATTAAGCTCCATCTCCGTCGTACATAGTACCATATACCCCAATATCATTAATATATTCGATAATCAAATAAAGGCACAAGCATCCCTTTTGTCGCACAAGCGAACTCACCACACACTTCTGATACACTTAAATTTCTTTTATTATTAAGTCAACAAAAATTTTGGTTACCAAATTCACCCTTTGATTTTTTTTTTCACTTTTTGATACACCTTTACGTTCTTTTTCGCGTTTAGAAATTTTATTCACCTTTTTACGTGTTTATAATCTGTCCCTATAAACCAACTCTAATTTCGATACTAAAGGAGGAGTTCACCCCCATATCCCATTGTGTTATCAATCCAAAATACTTATACGCTCATATTAACAGCCTTCAACACAAAGGTATTACGTTCCTAGACCAAATCATTACGATTGATTCAGCTTACCTCTTAGATTACCAAAAGATAAAATCGAATCTTCAAAACAAACACGGAAGTTTTCCAAGATGGTATAACTTTCTCAAAGAACACATCACGCTTACGAATGCAGGTAGACTAAATTTCGACCTCGGGCAACAATTTATACAAAATCCGCAAATTCAACGTCCTCGAATACCCCCTACGAATAATGAACCTATTCATCACCAAGGTAGACCAAAATGGATCTCATTTATAACTGATGTTGCATACGGAAGAATTCTTACCTCTACACACTCTTCTCAAACGGTTCCAATCCTTTATGCTGAATACTAGATTTTCAAGAACATAGACACAACTGATCATAATAATACCCCACGTTCACAAAAAACCACCATCATTCCATTTCAAGGTTGCTCCTTACAATACCCTTATTACGTTTGTTCTTTAACACCCAAATGTATCTTACAAGTCAAATATTCTAACGCCATTTTAATCGATACTATATCCTTAAAAAACAAAAAGCGTTTACTTCCCCATATTAGATTATCGTTACGATAAATTCCACTTATTAAAACATAGTCACCCTTATTATAGATTACTAACTTATAATGATTATTTAATTCAACATAATAGACTTAATCCCTCATATTCACTTCTATCAATCCCTCCTCATAATAATAATAGTAGTTCAATTAACCACTCTCTTATTGATACTTTAATAGAAAATAACGATATAGGCATTTAGCTAACGATCTTAATAAACACTTATCAGATTTATTATTCCCGATTTACTACTATAGATTTCTATACCGGTGATTCTTATACACCTGATGTTAATCAAAATGAATTTTTCATAGTCTACGGATGGACAACTTTTAACCTACCGGGTAGTGCTTCGATCCGTAGCGGTTTTATCCGGATTTTCATCCGGATTGAATTTCATTAAATTTCGCTGGCACTATTAGTGTGGCCAGAATTAGTATAAATTTTTGGGATAATAATACTTTAATGTTGGTTTAAATTATAGTCTGTTTAAATCTGAAACTCATAATCTTTCTCAGCCATAATCGTCACATGAAAATATTCAAGTTTTCATCCGGATCGAAGCACTACTACCGGGTGCCAATATAACATACAACGGTTCTTTAGAACTTTTTCCTCCTTCTACAAAAGCTGAAACCATGGCAATTCTTACCGCTCTTATTACATAACCTATAAATGGATTTATTCATATTTATACTGATTCACAAGCGGCAATTTCATAAATCGTCCAATCTCTCGTCCATTTCACCTCGACGATATAACAAAATCAACAATTATATTCTTTGGTCCGCCATACATCATATTATCAAGAAGTTACACCTAAGACCAGTGTTGGCCAGTGACCCAAATGACCTCAAATGACTCAAATGATTGGTCACGTGTCATTTGGGTCATTTCAACATTAAATGACAAATGACCTAGTCATTTAAAAATTACATCATAATTCTGGCCAGAACTATTCATATTTCATGAATAAAATTTTCACATGATATTAGAAGTTCATAATTCTGGCCGGCATTATTAATTTGGCCTGAATTATAAAGCATAATTTTAAATGACTCAAATGACAAATGACCTAAATGACTAGGTCATTCGAAGGTCATTCGGAGGTCATCTCAAAATGGGCAAATGACCTAGTCATTTGCCATCACTGCCTAAGACTGCAGCTCCATAAAGTCAAAGCTCATTCTAACGACACTTTTAATGAATGACATAGCAGATGCTCAAGCCAAATTGGTAGACTGAAACCCACACCAACCAAAATAGTACACCAACATTTACCCACACAAACGGTCACCTTAATGTGGAATAATAACGTTCCTATAGACAGAGACGTTAGAAAATGCATTGGTACAATTTCTAATTACAAACGACTGGAAGAACATCTTAATCACCCATCGTTACAAGATATATTAAAGAAGCTACCGCGTCACAATTGATAAACTGGACCTGTACCAGCAAATGGTTTAACTATAATGGTCATGACGAAGCAACAAGTTCACAACATTGCAAAGACACTGCATGGAAAATTAGATGCTTTACCAAAACCTTAACAACGCTTGACATACTTAACCGAAAATTCCCAAAACTTATTAACAATGTCTGCTGTATAAACAGACGGAGGAAACCAACGACCACATATGGTTATGTCCTGAACTTGATCAAACTATCCGCACAGATAGCGAACTCCCTTATCAAAATTTTGAACCAGTCAGTCGACAAATCATCGCTATGCATTTCCGATAGCGGCAAATACTGACCTACCTTCAGATGGGCCTTTAGAAACGAAAATATGCACCCTTCCGCCTTGCTACTCTTACGTTCCTACGTCACAAATGACCTATATGGAATTTTCCGTATCAATATCAACAAAAAGACAGCGATATAACACCTTTTATTTAGTTCATGCATCAATGTAGTACGATCTTTAAATAAAACGTTTGAAAACTTCGTTCCGTTAAATGGAAAGAATGGGAAACATTTGAATGGCATTACCAAAAATAGTTTTAAAACATACTCCGGCGGCAAGACAGATCGGCCGAAACACGTGACTCGCCTAATAATCGTTTACCTCGTCCCCACGAATATACCAATCCACATTTTGATTTCGGAAATTATAAGAATCATACGGATCTTTTATTTATTTTATTTTCTTCATCAAATTTTTTACATAGCGGTCCATTTTACAACCATGTTGACAGTTTGTCTCCACATAACATTTTCGACCACTATAGCTATAGAGTAGACCATCATTTTATTTCATATGTCTAGTTACCTACATCATGTAAAAAAGGGCATCCCCTATTAACAATAGTACTCTTTTAATTTTCTTTTTGTAGCTAGTTCTTTTTTTGTGTGTGCTCTTTGTTTACTATTGTTGTTCTTTATTGGTCGTGGTAGAGAACAGGAGAGTTCCTTTAACTACAAGTGAGGGTCTGATTTTCACTAGATGATAGCTGTTCTGCTGTAGCGCTATACTTTCTTTGATTGTATTATAGTTTTACTTAGACTGCTCCCTGCTTGGCATAAAAATAAATAAATAAATAAATGAACTATTAGCTTATTAATTTCGATACTATTAGCTTAGAATTAGACTTTATTAAACTCTAGTTTAACCTTCATAAAATGTATATAATAAATTTAATAATAAACGAAAAAATATAATAAATGAAAAAAATATAACTTATACCGTATCTTGTGAAATTTATTTTCGTTATTAAAATCTTAAATAATAAATTAAAAATATAAAATGAATAGCCAGCCTGTATTTAGAAAACGCAAAATTAGAGAACGTGCAGCGTGACGCTCGCTTCGGACGTTTAACGGTCACCGTTAGTATAATTTGAAACCATGCAACAGTTAATAT